AATAATAGGTCCTCCATTTTAGTTTTCCAAGTTACCCAATTGCTTCTATTGAAGCTAGACATACGACCCACATTCCCCTCCACTGATTTACACAAATAAATAGACCCAAATAAACCGTAAGCTCTGATACCAGTTGTTAGGGAAAATCGATGTGATTTCCCACAAGTGAATCAATCAATGGGAATAAAAGTTAATGTGGAAAAATTAAATCAAAAGCAACACAAGAATTTTTACGTGGTTCCCTCAATGTAAGGTACGTCCACGGGATCGAAATCTGATTCCACTATCAACCAAATAAGTTTCCAAACGATTACAAACGAGACACGAATGGTCTCACAAACCACCCTTAGGTGAATTCCAAATAATCACAAATAAACAAGAGGAAAGATCTCACCAAATAGAAGAATCAAAATCTTCAGAACCAGAGTTGAAGAAGACCCAAAAAATAACAACCCAAATCAATAAAAAAAAACCTTGGAATTTTCCTTTACACTACCAAATTGACTGTTGCTCCACAAAGTAATTCCAAAGCCACGAATTGATTAATTAACTATAGTATAGCAACGGCAGCACTATTACACCGAATTGATTTTCCAAAAACCTTCTGCCACAGCCTCATGGAAACATATAAACAATATTTATATATTGTAAATCTAGGATTTATTATCAAACCTTAGTTGTTTCCAAATTGGATTGGGTCTCCACAAATTAAATATAATATATAAAAAATATATTATAATTAATACTAAACCAAATTAAACTCTTTTTCCAAAACTAATTGGGTCTCATACTCCAATAAGGAGGTATACCCAACAAATTATTCTATCAGCTACCTGAGATTAATAGGTGTAATTTAGATAATAATGAGTTCCATAAGGAGATTAATAGGTGTAATATGTTTTTACTTGCCAAATCAATGGAGGTTCAACATGTAAAGATTGTTGTTGAATTGAAAAGTAAAGTTAGTTAGTCTAGTAGCTGTGGGTCACTGCGTGTTGGGAGTGCGAAAGAAATTGATACACTCTAGAAATTTTGTCACGATAAGGTGAAGAAATTATTGTCAAGCCCTTGGGCCGATGATATTATACACGTGGGACAACGATTTGTAAGAGATGCTAAAGGATTTTGTGATGCTTTATGCAAATATGCAATTCAATGTGAGTACCAATTTAAATATGCACCAAGAATGAAAAAATGAGTGAACAGTGACTATTTGAAATTATTGATGTTCATAGAATATTATTCACAATATTTATCACTTGATAAATATCAAGTTATTTTTAAAAATATAATAAAAAAATATTAAATTTTCTTATTTTAACAAATAAATATCTAATTGAATTATCATGTAATTTGGTGACGAAAAAAAAAAAACTCTCCGAGAGTAACCTCATCTTGTGGTATATTATAATTTGTACAACAATGATAGAGAGATCTAAATATAGAGTTCTAAATAAAATTCTATTTGATAATAACAAAAAAAAAAAAAAAAATTAAAACTCTTTCAAGCGCTTATTTTAGAGTTCTAAAACATTTTCCTAATTTATAATCGCATCATCATCATCAATGATAAGGTATGCTCATCAGTGTGTCTATTTATACTACACAGCCATAGCTTAACCCACCACACCACAGCAACACAAGAACAAAACAACTCTCCATATATCCTCTGTGCATGTCCATTTGAATTTCCAATAGTATCTGTAACCAGAAATACCCACATCCTCTCTCTCTCTCTCTCTCTCTCTCTCTCTCTTTTAAAGATGGCTGACCAGAAGCCTCAGAACAATGGGTTTTCCAGCCAAACTCAAATACCCATTCCAGGCCTCGATCCACCGGAGAAACCAAAACGAAACAAGTATGCCTTTGCTTGTGCTATTTTAGCTTCCATGACTTCCATGTTAATTGGTTATGGTGAGTTTTACCATCCATACACTTCTTTACACTCTCTAAAGATATGCTTCTTTCTTTCAAAGTATTGGTTGTGCATATCCTTTTCATTTTCTGTTTTCATGACAAGTTGATTTGGAAAACTGTTTTTGAGAAAATTATTTTTCTGAATGAAAAACCCACCTTTGTTTGTTTTTCCACCAAAAAAAAAAAAACAAAACAAAAACAAAAACTATTCACTGCATTTTTTCGTGGAGTGAAAAAAAATATAGGGCAAATTACATATACCCCCCTTGAGGTATGGCTAAATTACAAATACCCCCCTGAGGTTTGAGAAATTACGAATTCCCCCCTGAATGCTATATTTGCATAAGAAATTAGGAGGTAATTTGTTATGAAATATAAACCTCAGGGGGCAAATTGTTATGAAAATACAAACCTCAGGGGGCGGGATGTAATTTCCGAAACCTCAGGGGTATCTGTAATTTAGCCAAACCTCGAGGGGTGTATATGTAATTTGCCCATATTAAAAAGTTTAATAAAAATAAAATAAAAAAATATGAAAAACAAAATATTTGTGATTGTTATTTGTAATTTTCAAAAGGAAACGAACAAATATGTGCAGATATTGGGGTGATGAGCGGAGCAGGACCGTTCATCAAGGATGACCTGAAGATCTCGGACGTGCAGCTGGAAATCCTGATGGGCATCCTCAACATCTATTGCCTCCTCGGTTCCGCCGCCGCCGGCCGAACCTCCGATTGGGTGGGGCGCCGGTACACCATCGTTGTCGCCTCCGCCATCTTCTTCGTGGGAGCCATCCTCATGGGCTTCGCCACCAACTACGCCTTCCTCATGGTCGGTCGCTTCGTAGCCGGCATCGGCGCTGGATACGCCATCATGATCGCCCCCGTCTACACCGCCGAGCTCTCCCCGGCCGACTGTCGTGGCTTCCTCGTCTCTTTCCCCGAAGTCTTCGGCAACGCCGGTATATATCATTCCTATTTCTTTCTTATCCTATACAAACCAAATATATATTTATATATATATATATACATACAAAACTATGTAGTACACAGTAAATTTAAAAAAAATAAATAAAAAAAAAATCTTTTCATTTTTAGGTATATTGCTGGGATATGTATCAAACTATGCGTTCTCGAAGCTTCCACTTCACTTAGGATGGCGATTCATGCTCGGAGTCGGAGTGATTCCCTCGTTGTTCTTGGCGTTGGGGGTCCTCGCCATGCCGGAATCTCCACGGTGGCTCGTTTTACAAGGTCGGCTGGGAGACGCCAAGCGAGTTCTGGACAAGATCTCCAATTCCAAAGAGGAGGCTCAGCTGAGGCTCGCCGACATAAAGGAAGCCGCCGGAATTCCAGAGGAGTGCAACGACGACGTCGTTCATGTGTCGAAAAGGAGTCACGGCGAAGATGTTTGGAAGGATCTATTCCTCCACCCGACGCCGACAGTCAAGCACATCCTGCTCGCTGGCGTAGGAATTCACTTCTTCCAACAAACGTCTGGCATAGACGCTGTCGTTTTGTACAGCCCGAAAATATTCGAGAAGGCGGGTATAACAAACGTAAACCTCAAGCTACTCGCCACGGTGGCCGTTGGATTTGTCAAGACTCTGTTCATTCTCGTGGCAACATTTTTACTTGATCGGATCGGGCGAAGACCATTACTTTTGACAAGCGTTGCGGGTATGGTCGTGTCCCTGGCGACTCTAGGGGTGAGTTTGTCTATTATAGATCACTCGGAGAAGAAATTGATCTGGGCCGTTGCTTTGGCGATCACGTCAGTCCTAGCATATGTTGCCACGTTCTCGATTGGGATGGGGCCCATCACGTGGGTCTACAGCTCGGAGATTTTTCCACTGAGACTGCGGGCACAAGGAACAAGCTTGGGAGTGGCAGCTAATCGTGTAATGAGTGGAATTATATCGATGACTTTTCTCTCTCTCTACAAAGCCATTACCATAGGTGGTGCCTTCTTTCTCTTCATGGGAGTTGCCATGGTTGGTTGGGTGTTCTTTTACACGTTACTTCCAGAAACACAGGGTAAAACCCTTGAAGAAATGCAAGTATTGTTTGGCACTTTCTTTAGGTGGAGGTCAACCATAAGAGAATTGGAGAAAAACAAAAAAGGAGTCAATAGTACCGGTGATGGTAACGATGATAAGGGTAACAGTAATGGCCAGATTCAGTTAGGAACAACTAAGGCTAGATGTTAGGATTAGGTTAAAGATGGGTTTGCCAAACAATGACTAGCTTTCATGTTATTTACGATATGTGTTTTCATTTCAGTACTTCTAAATTATCACTTGAAAAAAAAAAAAAAAAAAAATATCCTGTTAAAAAGTAAAGAAAAAAAAAAAAAGTAAAAGTGAAAGAAAATGTCACTGATCATATACGGTTGACAAGAAGAAAAATTGTAGTAGTATAACATTGAAGACAGAAAAAGTTTTATTTTCCAATTTTGATATTGGTGGATGTACTGAGATTTGTTGTACTTTTATATGAGTGTGTGGCAGTAGTCATGAGATGCTCCATGTTTCTAACACTCTGTTTGTTTATTTATTTATTTTTGATCGGTAAAGAAATTTTTTTTATTGATGATGACAAATATACGTTACATATAAACAAACATTAATAAAGAAAAGATCAAGAGCAATATTATCCAAGCATCCTATCCTAATTTCAACTGAGTTAGTATCAAGAGAGACATCCGATCAAATGTAAACTCAAGACAAAATGTTGATAAGAACATAAACAAACCAAAACAACAGACAAAACAAAAGCACTCACCAATCACAGAAAACGCCCACCATGACACCTAACCAAACAGACAAGATAAAGAGCAACCACCAATCACCACACCCTGCAAATCCCACCCTCACAGCCCATAAATCATCCCTGATCTTTGCAACATCTTTGTTGTCTTGAACAAAATCTCAATTGCTACAGATTAAAGACCGCATCCTACACAGAATAAGGCGCACCTACTGTGTTATATTTCAACCATAAAGCACTTCTAATTTTAAAAATCTCCCCAAGTCCCCTGAAATATAGATTAACTCCTTGAAACACACACTCATTTCTGATCTTTCATACAGACCACACGAAAGTAAAAAGAATAGACTGCCATAACCTTCTTTCGAATCTGTTGAAACTCACACCAGACCACCACTCCAAAAGGCCTCCAATAGACCCTGGTATAACCCAAGATAAATTCCACCATTCCAAAATTTCACACCATAAACTCCATACCAAAGGATAGTATAAAATTATGTGATTTAGAGATTCCACTTCCTCCTTACAAAATGGACAAAGATTGTTGACACTGGAATTCAGAACTCCTATCCTTTGAAGGTATGCTGTTGTTTTCACTCTTCCCTTCCATGCCAACCAATGAAAGAACTTAACCTTTGGCGGTGTATCATTACCCCACAACAATTTAGTAATACCGATAGATGGGCCATGATTAACCTCACACCTTCTCCTTGCAGATGAAACTGAGAAAGAGCCAGACGAATCTGCAATCCACCTAACCTGGTCATCTACATTGACCCATAAATTGGGGATAGCATTCAACACCTCAATAAGTCTTCTGATATCCTTCTCTTCCCAAGCTTTTAAAGGTCTTTTGAATGAAAAATTCCACTCCCCTGCTGCTTCTCTGTTTTGAACCAATGGCTTTAATGAACCATCTGTAATCTCAGATAAACTGAAAAGCCTAGGGAAAACATCCTTCAACTTTTCATTCAACAACCATGTATCCCACCAAAAATGGATCCTCTCTTGTGAAGACCCTGAAAAATGTATTCTCTTTAAAAACCCTAATGTTTGAATTATTTTCTTAAAGCCCCTCAGTTCCTGGAATTATTTCAAATCTTGTCGGTTAGCATTTTTATTTTTATTTTTATCAAAACAGGAATATCCTAGCCAAATTAGGTTCATTAGCCTAATTTAATCTAATTCTACATAAGTAAAATTCCAATACATGAGTTTAATTCCAAATCCTCACTACTTTTATTAATTTCAAGAATTTCTCCAAAACTAGTACATGTACTTTTATATTATAGGTACCATCAATCAATTTGAGATCTATATATACATATACATTGGGGGATGTGTCCTTAGTACCTAAATTGAATAGAAAAATGCCCCATCTCCCTTCCCAATGGCTAGCCACCCTAGGAAGATGTGAGGAGCCCATTTTCAAGAATTGTAATCATGGTATTCTAGAAACCTTAACACCTAGTACCCCTAAATCTAGGGTTTTGTTTCCAATACTAGTTTCATTTCAACTAGGAACGAACTAGATATTATCTAATCCCATGATTAAGCTCCCTAATCACTCCTATTCCATTAGACTCCAAGTAAATCCTAACTTTTCCATCCAATTCCAACTAGTGGGCCTTTATGTCATTTTACACCAAAATTTGCCTATAAATACCCCCACTCCCTAGCATGGCAAACACAAGCAACACACTCACACACACATTCGGCCTAGAGGAGAGAAAGAAGAGCAAGAGAGAAGTCTTGAGAGGGAGAGGAAGGAAGAGGAGATCAATCTTGTTCAAGCCTAGCAAGTAAGCCACAACACAATTCTTTCTTTCATTTTCCTTTTTTCAAATACATGCTCTTAAGGGTTCTAAACCTTGTTTTCAGATGTGTTATTAATGATTTCCTTGTGTTAAAAATGATAAGAGTTGAGCCATGATTCTACCTCTCTTGTAGTTTCCCTCATTTCGGTACAAAACTATCTTTTTCATACCAATCTCTCAAACTTTCCAAAGGCACACCTTCAAGGAAATTTTTTGAGTTTAATATATGTTAGTTAGCATGTTTTCATCACAAAAGAAATGAAAATTTTCCCGTAGTAGATCTCTTTTCTCACAAATCTCCTTGTTTTGTGTATTGTGCCTTAGAATCTGTTTTCTCAGCAACCTTTCAAAATTTCTAGAAAAATGTAGAAAATTATTCTGGACCTCTATTTTATGTCAAAATCTTCCTTAAGGAGTTCGCTTTCAACTAAAATTGGTTTCATTGAAAAACAGTGGGCGGCTTACAAGAAAATCAAATTTTTGTAACGGTCGACGAATCTGGATAGCGCTGGAGTGTTTTCTAAATAACTTAAAATCTAGAAAAGCTATCCCATTTCTGAAATATGCTCGGAAAACTAGATTAAATTCTATATGAACTATAGGAAGGTCGATTCCGGTGAAAAATCTAAAATAGTCCTTTTCATTCTAATCCTTATGTGATATCGAATCTAAAAATTTTGTTATGCATGGGTGTTTTATGCTCTTGTGATCATGAAAATGCTTATTAGCTTATGATCATATCTTGGCATGATATTGTACATGTTATGGTTATGTTCTTTATCTTCTTCATCTTAATGATGCATGCTTATGTGGATATTATTATCTTGTTAAGTTGGTCTAACCTTGAATTAAAACATTTAACTCCACAAAAAACGTAATTGGGATGGCATTGAGTTTTCGATCTTTTGAGGTGTGAAAAGATGATAATGTGTGATGTATGGATTGTTGGGATGCGTTCCCTATTCAGAAGTTAAAGTCTTGCGCAAGTGGTTTTCGGAACCCTTGAACGGAGCGGTTGTATTCGGACCCTAGGTAGTTTGGTGTGAGGAGGGATTTGGGCAAGGCCCATTATTACCGTCTCTTTTGAGACCCTTCGGTTGGCGCTACGCGGTATATAATCGTTGGTAGGCATCCGAGGTTAGTTCTGCAATAAAGCAGCAAAAGAAGGGGCATACCAAATAATCTGCGTCCGATTCTTGTGGTTAGGAGGACGAAATCTCTTTGGGAGATTTCTAGTTTACTAACACCTAACTTATAACCCTTTATTTATTTAGTTGAGCATCATGCTTTACTACTTGATGTTATACTTGTAATTGTGTTTTGGACTGGGAAAAAGAGACGGGGTGTGTGTGTGTTTACTGGGCATTCAAAGCTCACGGCGTATCATGTCAGGTGCCGAAGAGGAGCTTATAGTTGGAGACGACGAGCCTGAAACCTTTGAAGACTTTTGGCTATCTTAGGAAAGTTAGAAATTTCTTTTGATATTTTGTAAGACTCATATGAAGATTTAAATTTTCTTTTGGGGATGTAATGTAATGGAACAAGCTTTTAAAATTAAGGATATTCATGGTTGTTATGTACTTATATTCTATATGTATGAACCTTATCGTTGCTTATGAGACCTTGTGTCAATACCTTTTAAGATCTGTCAAAAGGGTAATACGCTGCCTAAGAAAGCCGGACATAGAAGGGAGGCTAATTTGACTCCTTCGGCAATCTGGGATCTTACTTGGTTGTTGACCATGGGACTCATTAGTGACTCTCCCTTGACTGCAACCTATAGTGTAGATTCGGGGCGTCACAACTTGGTATCAGAGCATAGGTTCAACCCTTAACCCGCGTAACCCAATATGCGACTCTAGAAGCCCTTACCCCTTTATCTTATTTGATTCTATCACGCTATTATATTTAAATAAGACTAACAAATAAAAATCTTTTCCACCTTAGGATGTCATCAGGAGACTATTTAGGACGCAACATCAGTTTCGACTCGTGGGGTACTTTCCGTATGTAAGAAAGAAAGGCCATGTCTATCAGCCCCTACTTTAGCCGCCGACGCTGTACAAGTGCCGCCAAGGAAATGATCAAAACAGAGATACGTAAGGTGAAAACGGAGTACTCCTGCTATACTAGGGAGTAGAAGAGGTCCCTGGTATGGCGCCGCCTACAATTTTTAAGTCGGGCAGCGAAGAAGGCGATTCGAATGGAGCAAGATGATCAGAGGATGGACTCTCTGATACACTGAGCTTTGACCACCATAGCATACCATCGACCACCGACTCAGGCTGAAAGCTACGAATCCTGTTATTAGGGGCCAGGCAACGATCAACCAATGGATATGGAGCAGCCACCTGAACAGCAAGGGGCAACCCAAGCCTACCCTATAGAGGTGTCATCTAAACACAATCCCCCCTCACCAAGGTACACCCCCCGCTCTTCGGACCAAGCAACTGACTTCGCTGAGGAAGACCCAGAAGAAGACTTTGATTGGTCGGGAAACGAGAACTAGTTCGAGGAATAGTAAAACTAGACTTTTGTAAGATCCGCTGATGGGGATCCTTACAATAAGATAGCTTGAACTTCGTAATGCGTAGATGCCCCTTGAATGTAATTCCAATTTAGGAGCCCTTTTGTAATAATGACTATTATAATATATGAATGATGTGTTCATCTATGTTGTTGACTGTTACTTGCTTTAGTACACCCTACAGAAACTGAACCTTTATTTCAAATCTAAGTAGTAAGATTCTCTAAAATTGAAAACCAACTCACCACGTGCCATGAACAGAATGGTGGGCACGCGAGCTAATGGTTATACCGAAACCAGCAACAATGCACAAAACCGTCCCAGAAACCAACACTATAGCGATCCCGGGTTTTACCCCTTTATGTACAGTGTTCCGGACATATGTTCCGTAGTATTGGCTATTGTTATATCTTGCTGTTATCCTTTAATTCCTTATTAATGAGTTATAGAATGTGTTGGGCAGGTTTGTTACAGGTTGGGTGTGATTGGAAGCAAATGGTTGCTGCCCAGATTTTGGTGTCTGTGCTCGAGAGAGGACTTTGTTGCTCGAGCGAGATATTTGTTTTAGATCCTTCGCTCGAGCCAGGGTTTGTTCGCTCGAGCGAGAGTTGATTTTTGTGTCTGGTGGCTTGAGCGAGAGGTCCTTCGCTCGAGCTTGCGTCTGTGTCTGATTCTGGACCTGAGAGCTGTGTTTCTTGGCTTGAGCGAGCTTTCCTTCGCTCGAGCGAACGAGCTGTATGTTTTGAGTTTCTTCGCTTGAGCGAGCATTCTGTCGCTCGAGCGTGCTTCTGGGTTGTAGACCTGAAGCTTCGCATTCTTGGCTCGAGCGAGACTTTCTACGCTCGAGCGAGAGTTTCATGTGTCTGGTCGCTTGAGCGACCAATCCTTCGCTCGAGCGAGCCTGTGTTATATCAGTAGACAGCAACGGGTTTACACTTCACTTTTTCATCTTCTCTTTTGTGTAAACCCTAGATCCAAGCTCTCTCTCTCTATACACCTTCTCTCTAGGGTTTCATCTCCTATTAGTGTGTTCCTACGCTAAGTCCTTTGTAAGAAAGTTAGAGGGTGGCTTGGGCTTCGTTTTAATCTGAATAGTTGTGGATTTGGAGCATTTCGGGTATTCACCATCTTTTCCTTTGGGCTTCTAATTTCGAGGTAGGGATATCCTACTCTATCCTATGAGTTTTGTCTTTAAATTTTGGCATTTTGATATGTTAGGGTTGTTGGGTAATTTTTAGAAAATTTAGGGTTTGTTTTGTAATTTCTAAAAGAGGGGTTTTCCATGTTTGAGTCATATTTGTGTTATAGACTTGAAATGGAGGTTGTTTATGGATTATGGGTGAAAAATGAGCCTCAGGGCTATTATTGAAAAAAGGGGGAAAATGCCCTAATTGTAATAAATAATTAATTTGTATAATTAATTTGGGGAAATGTGAAATTGAGTTGAGAATAATGAAATTGGGAAATTATGTGATTAAATGGTGTAGTTGGATTAATTTATCACTCACCTATGGTAAATGTTGATATTATTTCTATTGTTGCATTTATGTTCTGTTTAGAAATATCTGCATTGGGCTATCGGTGAAGGATAGTCTTGATTGTTGTAGACACTGCATGTTGATTAGGGAAAACCGAAACTAATCACATTGAATATGTCATCGAATATGACTGTTGGTATAATACATCAAACTTATGTATTGATTGACCTTGTATATGATACGTGTTTATATACATTGTGTTGTGTGGGAGGAGATAGGGGATGTACTCCACGGTTTAGGGGAAGATAGGGGATGGACTCCTAAACCGGACTTTGTTTGGGAGAAGATAGGGGATGTACTCCATTGATACAGCAAATATGTGTATCTATTGAAGTAGTGATATAGCAAATCTGTATATCATATATGAAGTATGGGAGTGTTTTAATATATTATTGATACAGCAAATATGTGTATCTATTGTGAAATATGAAAGTGTTAGTATTTGAGTTATAGTCTCATTGAATTGTTTGGCCAGGTTCTGAGCCATGTATATGAAGTGATTTGGATAAGTAAAAATGAAATGTAACATGGACACAAGTGTCATGGAACTGTATTGTGATGTAATTGGTTTATAAGTGTTAACCATCTATCTAATGCCATTCTTTTAGTCATTGCTTATATTTGGTTTAGTATATCTCTACTGGGCTGTGGCTCACCCTATATGGGACATCATTTTCAGGTCCAAGTGATATGCCACCTCCAAGGACATAGCTTGGGAGGTTTAGGAGTTGAAGACTCTTTTTGTTGCTTTGTTATTTTGTTGTATTACATGTAAATTCAGGCCAAGGGATTAATATGATATGAGTTAGTACTCTTTTTTGTGTAACCAAGTGTTGGCTTGGAAAGTTGTAAGCCGTTGGGCATTTAGTTTTGTTGTCAACATGTAATACATTTATAAGGAATACTCTGATGAATGGAATTAAGTTTTATTTACTTATGTCTATGCATGTCAATGATGTGGGTTTTTATGTATTATTTTGAGGGCATTACAACTTGGTATCAGAGCGTACCGGGTTCGAATACTTTGGGTACGCGGGAAGTGGTTAATACCACAATGGGTTTGTCTTGCTTGTTAGAGACTTAGGTATAATGTTATGTGCTTATGTGATAACATGTTTACGTGAATATATGGGTATGGAATTTAGTTTATGGGATGTTGATTGGACCCTTGGGTTTCTGGGAGTCCTATTGGAAAAGCACTTGATCAATGTTGTTTCTAACTGGAACACTAGTAACGCCTCGGGACTGTCATTATCCGGAAATGAAATTCGTAAGTGCTTATGTGATTATGTGCTTATGTGGAGTGAATTATTGTTGTCCATTGTATTAGGACGCGGGTGTTATAGCTTCAGCACATTTGTGAATGTGCTAATGTTCTTTGTTACCTTTATTAGGATGTCAGGACGAGGATGAGGACGTGGGGGTAGATGCGATAGGCGTGGTAGACAGGAGATGCCTTTACCGGATGAGATTCCGGCACAACAAGAGGGTATTGGCCAGGCCAATATGGCCGGGCTAGTGGGTCAGCAGGCTATGGGTACCTTAGCCAGCGAGATAGCAGGAGCATTCAGGGAATCCATAGGTATCCTCAGAGCTAAGAATCCAGTTCAGGCCTAGGTTGTTGATGCAGGGCCTTCCTTTCTGAAGAGGGAGTTTTTCCAGTCTAATCCGGATGAGTTTTTGGGGGATCCGAAAGAGCTACTTAAGGCTGATGAGTGGTTAGAGCAGATGACTAAGACGTTTGAGATACTTGGCATCGAAGACGGGGCTTTGAAGGTGACCTTGGCGTCTTTCCAGCTAAAGGGAGATACGGGTCAGTGGTGGAAGTTTACGAGGGGTAGTATTGGTGGCACTTGGGAAGCCTTTGTAGATGCTTTCCAGGAGAAGTTTCTGTCTCCCGCTATCAGGGAGAAGTTGAGAGATCAGTTCTGCCAGCTAAAGCAGCTGAGTTCATCAGTGGCCGAGTTTGAGGCCACATTTACTAGTCTGTCCAGGTTTGCACCTGAGCTTGTGGCGTCAGAAGAACGTCGTTGTCTCAAGTTTGAGAGGAAATTGAGGCACGGGCTCAAGATGAGAGTTGGTGGGTCTATGAATCGGAAGTATAGGCGCCTTGTGGACGCTACGGCTCATATGGAGATTATGATGCATGAGGAGGAGGAGAAATTGAGGGGCTCCAAGAGGAGTCAAGATGGCCAGGGTGACGGCAGGAGACAGAGGGGTTCTAACCCTTAGCAGTCTCAGGGTGGTTTTGCCAGATCTACCTTTCCAGTGCCGAGTGCAGGTTCTGGGATAGGCAGTCAGGGAGACATGACTTGTTACAAATGTGGTCAGTTGGGCCACAAGTCTCCAGCTTGCCCGCAGAGGGGAGGAGGTCAGAGAGCTGCTGCATCTTCGGCTCGACCTCAGAGCCAGAGTCAGGGCAGAGGTCAGCCACTGTCTTGTTATCAGTGTGGTCAGGCGGGGCACCTGAAGAGGTTTTCCTCGTAGTTGAGTGCCACATCAGTTGTGTCTGGTTCTAGGCAGATGCAGAGTTTTCAGCCAGCGTAGTCTGTTCAGGCCTCGAGGGCCAATCAGAGAGCTTCGTCATCCTAGTCTATGCAGCAGTCTTTTGCTCCTAGGGGTGAGCAGGTTGATCAGAAACCTTAAGGGCTCGTGTATGCTGTTACCGCGCAGGATCTTGTATCTGCTCTATCTGTTGTGAGATGTACCTTTTTGTTTTGCAACTCGGTTGCTAATGTGTTGATTGATACGGGTGCATCCCATTCCTTTTTATCTGCTGCATTTGCATCTGTTTTGGGGTTGGAGTTGGCACAGTTAGCATCTCCTATATGTGTTGTATCACCTGTTGGAGGTGAATTGATTTTGAAACAGGGGTGTCGGGGCTGTGATATAGAGGTCGCCGACCGCCGACTTCCATTTCCTTTTGTAGTTATGCCTATGTCAAGTTTTGATGTTATCTTGGGTATGGACTGGCTATCGTCATACCGGGATGTTATTGATTGTTACCGTCAGAGGGTCACAGTATATACCGTGAGCGGGGATTGTTTCCATTTCTTGGGAGATCCGGTTGGTAGTGTTTTGCCACCGGTGTATGATCCGCGAGGACGGAATGAGCTTAGTGGTCTTCTCACTAGCTTCATGAGTGGTGAGTGTGATGAGACCCAGACTGTATTGCCGAGAGTGGTTTGTAAGTTATCGGATGTTTTTCCCGAGGACCTTGTTAGCTTACCACCTCATCGAGAGATTGAGTTCTCTATTGATCTAGTGCCCGGCACGGCGTCGATTTCTATGGCACCTTATCATTTTGCCCTAGCTGAGTTGAGTGAGTTGAAGATTCAACTCCAAGAGTTGCTAGATAAGGGCTTTATTCGCCCTAGTGTTTCGCCGTGGGGATCACCGGCCTTCTTTGCTAAAAAGAAAGATGGTGCCTTGAGACTTTGCATTGATTACCGGAAGTTGAATCGGGCTACGGTCAAGAATAAGTACCCTATGCCTCGTATTGATGATTTGTTTGACCAGTTGAAGGGTTCCTATTGTTCTCTAAGATAGACTTGAGATCGAGTTACCACCAGTTGAGGGTCAAGGAGGAGGATATTCCGAAGACGACATTCCGTACGCGGTATGGCCACTATGAGTTTCTGGTGATGCCTTTTGGGCTCACCAATGCACCGACAGTCTTTATGGACTTGATGAATCAGATATTCCACGAATTCCTAGACTGCTTTGTGGTCGTTTTCGTGGACGACATTCTGATTTATTCGCCTTCTGAGGAGGAGCACGAGGAACACTTGAGAGTGGTGCTTGAGTTGCTTAGAGCCCATAGGCTGTATGCCAAATTTGGGAAGTGTGAGTTCTGGCTAGGAGAGGTCAAGTTCTTAGGCCATGTGGTTTCCAGGGAAGGGGTGTCTGTTGATACATCCAAGATTGAGGCAGTGTAGGATTGGGCACAGCCTAAGAGTGTTTTTGAGATCCGCAGTTTTCTGGGGTTAGCTGGGTATTACCACCGGTTTGTGAAGAATTTCTTCAGGCTAGCTTCGTCATTGACTAGATTGACGCGGAAAGGGGTCAAGTTTGTATGGAGTGAGACTTGTAAAAAGTCGTTCAAAGAGTTGAAAGTTAGATTGACCACCGCTCCGATTTTTATTATTCCGGAGAGAGGGTTAGGTTATGCAGTTTATTGTGATGCTTCACAAGAGGGTTTGGGTTGTGTGTTGATGCAAGAGGGGAAGGTCGTAGCCTATGGCTCGCGGTAGTTGAAAATACATGAGAGGAATTACCCTACACATGACCTAGAGTTAGCAGCTGTGATTTTTGCCTTAAAGATTTGGAGGCACTACCTTTATGGTGAGACGTTCGAAGTATTCTCGGATCATAAGAGTCTGAAATATCTGTTTACACAGAAAGACTTGAACTTGAGGCAGAGGAGGTGGATGGAGTTTATTGAGGATTACGACTTTGAGTTGCATTATCATCCGAGGAAGGCCAATGATGTGGCCGATGCCGTTAGCAAAAAATCCATTAGTGATGTAGCTTGTATAGCTATCCGGGAGTGGGAGATGTTGCGTGCACTTGGCGAGTTTGATTTGCTTTTGGGCGAATCCGTTGAGGCTACGGCCTTGCTTTCTGTTGTTGTGTAACCTACACTTGTGACTCGAGTGTCAGAGGCACAGAGAGCTGACCCTAAGATAGAGTCCCTCCGAGAGAAGATCTCCAGTGGGAAGGTTGAGAAGGGTTTGTCTGTGTATCCCGACCTGAGTGTGAGATACCGAGACTGTTTATTTGTACCTGAGTTTTGCCGAGAGGAGGTACTCCGAGAGTTTCACCATTCACGCCTTGTGGTGCATCCGGGAGGCACTAAGATGTATCGGGATTTGGGTCGCCAGTTTTGGTGGCGGGGTATAAAGAGAGATGTGGCAGTCTTTGTGTCTAAGTGCCTTACTTGTCAGCAAGTGAAGGCCGAGCATCAGAGGCCAGTGGGTTTGTTATAACCCTTGCCTATTGCCGAGTGGAAGTGGGAGCATGTCACTATGGACTTCGTTGTAGGTCTTCCGAGGACTCAGCGGGGTAGTGATGCTATTTGGGTAGTTGTAGACCGGTTGACTAAGTCGGCGCACTTTATCCCTATGCGCGTGAGAGATTCGGTAGATCATCTTGCCGACTTGTATATTTGGGACATAATGAGGTTGCACGGGGTCCTAGTGTCGATCGTCTCAGATAGAGATCCCCATTTTACTGCGAGGTTATGACAGAGTTTGTAGAGTGCCTTGGGCACTAGGTTGACCTTTAGCATGGCTTATCATCCTCAGACTGACGGGCAGTCTGAGTGTACCATTCAGATCCTTGAGGATATGCTTCGAGGTTGTGTCCTTGACTTTAGTGGGTCGTGGGAGAGGCACTTGCCCTTGGTGGAGTTTGCCTACAACAACAGTTTTCAGTCAAGTATCGGTATGGCACCGTTTGAGGCCTTGTATGGCCGACCGTGTAGGTCTCCAGTTTGTTGGGCCGAGGTGGGTGATGCACCTTTGTTGGGCCCAGAGTTGGTGAGGGAAACGACGGAGAAAGTTGAGCTTATCCGTAGGAGGCTTATTACAGCCCAGAGTCGTAAAAAATGTTATTCTGACCGTAGGAGGAGGCCTTTGGCATTTGAGGTGGGTGATCACGTGTTTCTGAAGATATCACCTAAGCGGGGTTTGATGAGATTTGGTAAGAGAGGGAAGTCGTCCCCTCGATTTATAGGCCCTTTTGAGATCCTTGAGAGGATTGGTGAGGTTGCCTATCGTTTAGCTTTGCCGCCGCAGTTGTTCGGAGTTCATGACGTGTTTCATGTTAGTATGCTTCGGAAGTATGAGCTGGATCCATCGCATGTATTGGATTGAACCGACTTGGAGGTTGACGAGGATGCCTCGTATGAGGAGAGACCGGTTCGGGTCTTGGATAGACGGGATCAAGTCTTGTGAGGCAAGACCATTCCCTTGGTAAAAGTTTTATGAAAACATCATGGGGTGGAGGAAGCCACTTGGGAACGTGAGTTGGAGGTCCAAGAGAAATATCCAGATCTATTTGTGGATGTATGAGCATATGTTGTATATCTTGTTGTATTGATAAACCTTGAGAGCATTGTATATGTTTGGTTTATAGAAATATTGTGGAAGTATTATGAATCATGTCTTGAGATTGGAGGTTTATTTTAACATTGTGTATGTTAAATATGTTATAGAAATGCAAATATGTTTTTGGCATTGAATATATAATTGAATTTTGGAATATATGTTGAAATTGGTAAATTTCAAATGAATGCATGTTGTTAATGCACGTTGGAAGTTGTATATTGTGAAATGCCTCTTGGTAAGAGATGGAATGACCGGTAATGGGTCAAATTATTGAATATTGAAACGTAATATTGTTGGAAATTGAGGACAACTTGTTTTTGAAAACTTGTGCCTAATTTCGGGGACGAAATTCTTTAAGGAGGGAGGTTATAGCGATCCCGGGTTTTACCCCTTTATGTACAGTGTTTCGGACTTATGTTCTGTAGTAGTGGCTGTTGTTATATTTTGTTGTTATCCTTTAATTCCTTATTTATGAGTTATAGGATGTGTTGGGCAGGTTTGTTATAGGTTGGGCCTGATTGGGAGCAAATGGTTGCTGCCCAGATTTTGGTGTCTTCGCTCGAGCGAGGACTTTGTCGCTCGAGCGAGATCTTTGTTTTAGATCCTTCGCTCGAGCCAGGGTTTGTTCGCTCGAGCGAGAGTTGAGTTTTGTGTCTGGTGGCTCGAGCGAGAGGTCCTTCGCTCGAGCTTGCGTCTGCGTCTGATTCTGGACCTGAGAGCTGTGTTTCTTGGCTCGAGCGAGCTTTCCTTCGCTCGAGTGAGCGAGGTGTACGTTTTGAGTTTTTTCGCTCGAGCGAGCATTCTGTCGCTCGAGCGTGCTTCTGGGTTGCAGACCTGAAGCTTCGCATTCTTGGCTCGAGCGAGACTTTCTACGCTCGAGCGAGAGTTCCATGTGTCTGGTCGCTCGAGCGACCAATTCTTCGCTCGAGCGAGCCTGTGTTATATCAGTAGACAGCAGCAAGTTTACACTTCACTTTTTCATCTTCTCTTTTGTGTAAACACTAGATCCGAGCTCTCTCTCTCTCTACACACCTTCTCTCTAGGGTTTTATCTCCTATTAGTGTGTTCCTACGCTAAGTCCTTTGTAAGAAAGTTAGAGGGTGGCTTGGGCTTCGTTTTAATCTGAATAGTTGTGGATTTGGAGCATTTCGGGTATTCACCATCTTCTCATTTGGGCTTCTAATTTTGAGGTAGGGATATCCTACTCCATCTTATGAGCTTTGTCTTTAAAGTTTGGCATTTTGATATGTTGGGGTTGATGGGTAATTTTTGGAAAAGTTAGGGTTTGTTTTGTAATTTCTAAAAGAGAGGTTTTCCATGTTTGAGTCATATTTGTGTTATAGACTTGAAATTGAGGTTGTTTATGGATTATGGGTAAAAAATGAGCCTCAGGGCTATTATTGGAAAAATGGGGAAAATGCCCTAATTGTAATAAATAATTAATTTGTATAATTAATTTGGGGAAATGTGAAATTGAGTTGAGAATAATGAAATTAGAAAATTATGTGATTAAATGGTGTAGTTGGATTAATTTATCACTCACCTATGGTAAATGTTGATATTATATCTATTGTTGCATTTATGTTCTGTTTAGAAATATCTGCTTTGGGCTATCGGCGGAGGATAGTCTTGATTGTTGTAGACACTGCATGTTGATTACGGAAAACCGAAACTAATCACATTGAATATGTCATCGAATATGACCGTTGGTATAATACATCAAACTTATGTATTGATTGACCTTGTATATGATACGTGTTTCTATACAGTGTGTTGTGTGAGAGGAGATAGAGGATGTACTCCACGGTTTAAGGGAAGATAGGGGATGGACTCCTAAACCGGACTTTGTTTGGGAGGAGTTAGGAGATGTACTCCATTGATACAACAAATATGTGTATCTATTGAAGTAGTGATATAGCAAATCTGTATATCATATATGAAGGCATGGGAGTGTTTTAATATAATATTATCTATTGTGAAATATGAAAGTGTTAGTATTTGAGTTATAGTCTCATTGAATTGTTTGGCCAGGTTCTGAGCCATGTATATGAAATGATTTGGATAAGTAAAAATGAAATGTAACATGGACACAAGTGTCATGGAACTGTATTGTGATGTAACTGGTTTATAAGTGTTAACCATCTATCTAATGCCATTATTTTAGTCATTGCTTATAGTTGGTTTAGTATATCTCTACTGGGCTGTGGCTCACCCTATATAGGACATCATTTTCAGGTCCAGGTGATATGCCACCTCCAAGGACATAGCTTGGGAGGTTTAGGAGTTGAAGACTCTTTTTGTTGCTTTGTTATTTGTTGTATTACATGTAAATTCAGGCCAAGGTCTTAATATGATATGAGTTAGTACTCTTTTTTGTGTAACCAAGTGTTGCCTTGAAAAGTTGTAAGCCGTTGGGCATTTAGTTTTGTTGTCAACATGTAATACATTTATAAGGAATACTCTGATGAATGGAATTAAGTTTTATTTATTTATGTCTATGCATGCCAATGATGTTGGTTTTTATGTATTATTTTGTGGGCGTTACAAACACGGACCCATTCCCGCAGGGGCTGATATCCCCAATAACCTAGGTCATCAAATTTTGGAAGAACTAGGGCAAGTAAGGAACAATCGGCAGAATGAGAGGACTCGACTCTTTTCTAAATTTCGAAAACAGAGGCCCCCAAAGTTCGCAGATGTGCCGGACCCAAAGGTAGTTGAAAATTGGCTTCGGCAAATAGGGAAAATGCTAGGCACCATGGGCATAACCGAGGCCACTAATAGAATAGCTTTGGCAGTATTCGAGCTTGATGATGAGGCTGACCACTGGTGGGAGTTAATCAAGAATACTCGTGATGTAGCGAGCCTATTATGGAACCAGTTCAGGGAGCTATTACCAAATACATATTTCCCAAATATGGTCCACCGAGAACGAGTCAAGGAATTCCAAAACCTGGAACAAGGAAATATGACCGTGACCCAGTATGCTGTAAAATTTGAAGAGTTAGCCTGTTACGCAACTAGATACGTAGCGAATGATGGAGAGAAAGCAAGGATGTTCGAGTGGGGGTTGGACCTTACAATCAGGGGAAAAGTTCTTTCGCAACGACTCCACTCATATGCCGAGGTGTTGGAAACGACATTAAAGTCTGAAAGGGAAGTAACCGACGCTAGAAAGGCTTGAAACAAGCGGAGAGGGAGTCAAGCGTCTATTGGACCTCAGAGGAACCAGTGAGTAAACATGACCTTAAATCCCTACCCCAGACCACAACCACAACAGCAACAGCAGCAACCGCAGCAATAGATCCAGAGGGGAGGCTATCAACAAAGGCCGGCAGGACAACTCCAATGCTTTCATTGCCAATAATTAGGGCACAAAAAGAGTGAATGCCCCCAACTCCCTCCATCTGGGTACCAAGGAGGAGGTTTCAGAGAAAATGCCCCGGCATTAGGTGGGCAGAAGCCTTGGACGAACAAGACAAGATCTACTGGACAGCAGCACCAGAAGAGTGGGGGAACTCAGAATGCCAAGACCAGTGGTAACCAGAAGGCAATCGGCAGAGTCTTTGCCTTGCAAGAGGAAGAAGCAGACCCATCTATAATTGAGGGTAATTTAGTGCTATACAATTCTTGGGTGCATGTTTTATTTGATGCTGGTGCATCACATTCTTTTATATCCTCTGCTTGTGCTAAATCATTAGGACTTGTAGGAGAACCCTTAGAAACCGCCTTAAATATAATGTCACCTATGGGAGGATGCGTTTGGATAAGATTGATCTGTAAGGATTGTAAGATAGGAATGTCGAACCTACGCTTAACTTGTGACCTTCGTGTCATGGAAATGTCGGACTTCGATATCATTTTTGGCATGGATTGGTTGTCTGCCCACCAAGCAGTGATCAATTGCCGTCAAAGGAAGGTAATATAGCTCATACGCATGACGGAACACGTTTCCAGTTTAAGGGGGATAGACAAGACCCCATGGCTTCAACGAAATGTAGGACGCAGTGGGGCGATCAACTTGGGGGTAGGATAGCAAGTCTAATTTTAAATGAGGAGGGCCAAGGAGAATTAGAACTTTCGCACGTAGTATGTGAATATGCAGATGTATTTCCTGCGAAATTACCGGGATTTCCACCAACGCGGGAAGTAGACTTTAGTATTGAGCTACAACCTGGAAATACCCCAATATCCATGGCCCCGTATCGCATGGCACCCGCAGAATTATGAGAATTAAAGACACAACTACAGGAGTTGCTCGAGAGAGGATTCGTTAGGCCAGGTACTTCGCCATGGGGAGCACCCGTGTTGTTTGCTAAAAAGAATGATGGGTCATTGAGGCTATGTATCGATTACTGTCAACTCAATCAAGTCACGATTAAGAACCGATACCCACTCCCAAGGATTGATGACCTTTTTGACCAACTTAGAGGCTCAAGGTGCTATTCAAAGATTGATCTCAGGTCAAGTTACCATCAACTACGAGTCAAGGAGGAGGATATACCAAAAACTGCCTTTCGTATTAGATATGGCCACTATGAGTTTGTAGTAATGCCCTTCGGACTAACCAATGCACTGGCAATATTCATGAGCTTAATGAATAAGATTTCTAGACCATATATTGACCAGTTTGTAGTGGTGTTCATTGATGACATCTTGGTATATTCAAGGTCTGAAGAAGAGCATGAGCAACATTTAAGGATTGTCCTTCAAGTTCTTAGGGATAATCGGTTATATGCCAAGACAAGTAAATGTAAGTTCTGGTTGAATGAAGTGAAATTCTTAGGGCATGTAGTATCAGAGAATGGGATTGCGGTGGATCCAACCAAGGTGGAGGCAGTATTAGATTGGAGACAACCGAAAACCGTATCAGAAATCTGCAGTTTCTTAGGATTGGCCGGTTATTACTGAAGGTTCATCCAAGATTTCTCCAAACTAGCTAAACCAATGACTCGTTTGACGCAAAAAGGAGTAAAGTATGAGTGGGACGAAGCTTGTGAAAAATCCTTCCAAGAGCTAAAGAAGAGGTTAACTAGTGCGCCAATTTTGACCATCCCAGAACAGGAAGCGGGGTACACTGTGTATTACGATGCGTCTAAAGAAGGATTAGGTTGTGTGCTCATGCAAAATGGAAAGGTAGTCGCGTATGGATCCAGGCAGTTGAAACCTCATGAGCGTAACTACCCAACACATGACCTGGAGTCAACGGCCGTAGTTTTTGCCCTAAAGGAATGACGACATTACCGGTATGGGGAACAATTTGAGATTTTCACAGATCACAAAAGTTTGAAGTATCTGTTTACACAGAAGGACCTTAACTTGAGACAGAGACGATGGATGGAGTATCTTGAGGACTTCCAGTTCACTCTCTCATATCATCCCGGTAAAGCCAATGTAGTAGCAAATGTTCTAAGTCGCAAGAGCAAAGGAATGATGGCTAAGATTTTCGTCAAAGAATGGCATATGGTTAAGACACTCAATGAATTCAGGATCCAAGTAGAATCTCAAGATACAAAAGCATATATTAGTGCACAGATGGTGATGCCTAAGTTGATGAATGAGATCATGGAGGCCCAGAAGCACGATCAAGAGGTAGCCTATATCAAGGGACGTCTGGAAGTAGGAGAACCAATGCTCGATTGGGTAATTCACCACGATGGGAGTTTAAGATACCAAGGTAGATTGTTTGTACCAAGTGACGAGTTGCTTAGAGAAAAGGTACTTAAGAAAATTCATCATTCTGCATTTGCAGTACATCCAGGAGGGACTAAAATGTACAAAGATTTGAAGAGGCAGTATTGGTGGAATGCAATGAAGAAGGAAGTGGCTAAATTTGTAGCAAAATGTCTAACATGCCAACAAGTGAAGACGGAACATCAGAAACCGGGGGAATGTTGCAACCTCTACCAATAGCCGAATGGAAGTGGGAGTATGTGACGATGGACTTTGTGACAGGGTTGCCTAAGTCACCTAGAGGGTGCGATGCTATATGGGTAATAGTGGATCGCCTCACCAAGTCAGCACATTTCTTACCATATAAGATGACCGACACTTTAGAGTCTATGTGCAGGCTCTAAATTGGGGAGATCATTCGACTACATGGAATTCTGGTATCTATTGTGTCAGATCGTGATCCATGATTCACCTCTCGATTTTGGGGAAGCCTGCAGAAAGCTCTTGGTACTGAGTTATGTTTTAGCACCGCCTTTCACCCGCAAACAGATGGACAATCTGAACGCACCATCCAAACACTCGAAGATATGTTGAGAGCTTGCGCAATGGATTTTCAAGGAAGTTGGGAACGTCACCTACCTTTAATTGAATTCGCCTATAACAACAGCTTTCAAGCTATCATCGGTATGGCGCCTTTTGAAGCATTATATGGACGACCTTGTAGATCGCTGATTTGTTGGACGGAAGTGGGTGATGCAAATCTGATCGGACCTGAACTTGTTCTAGAAACTACTGACAAGGTCAAATTGATCCGACTACGGTTAAAGACTGCTCAAGACCGTCAAAAGAATTACGCGGATAGGAGGAGAAGGCCATTGATGTTTGAAGTAGGCAGCGACGTGTTCCTAAAGGTGCAACCTAGGCATGGAATCATACGTTTTGGAAGGAAGGGGAAGCTATCACCACAATATATTGGGCCTTTTGAGATATTTTGTATATCGGACCCTTCGAAATATTGGAGAAGGTGGGTGAAGTGGCATATCGACTAGCTCTACCCCCGCAGTTAGTAGGGATACATAACGTCTTCCATGTATCTATGTTGAGAAAATACATCGCCAACCCATCACACGTCCTCAAATGGGAAGAAATCAGTCTTGACAAAGATGTTACATTTAAAGAAGGACCGGTAGCAATACAAGATAGTCGAGAGAAGAACCTTAGAGACAAAACGGTTCACTTGGTAAAAGTGCTATGGCGTCATCGGGGAATTGAGGAATCTACTTGGGAACGCCAGGATTGGGTGAAGGCAAACTATCCCGAACTTTTCAAAGGCAGTATGTAGTTGAATTTCGGGGACAAAATTATTTTAAGGGGGATAGGTTGTGAAGCCCCTGAAAAATGTATTTTCTTTAAAAACCCTAATGTTTGAATTATTTTCTTAAAGTCCCTCAGTTCCTGGAATTATTTCGAATCTTGTCGGTTAGTATTTTTATTTTTATTTTTATCAAAACAGGAATATCCTAGCCAAATTAGGTTCCTTAGCCTAATTTAATCTAATTCTACATAAGTAAAATTCCAATATATGAGTTTAATTCCAAGTCCTTACTACTTTTATTAATTTCAAGAATTTTCCCAAAACTAGTACATGTACTTTTATATTATAGGTACCATCAATCAATTTGAGATCTATATATACATATACATTGGGGGATGTGTCCCTAATACCTAAATTGAATAGAAAAATGCCCCATCTCCTTTCCCAGTGGCCGGCCACCCTAGGAAGATGTGAGGAGCCCATTTTCAAGAATTGTAATCATGGTATTCTAGAAACCCTAACACCTAGTACCCCTAAATCTAGGGGTTTTTTTTTCCAATACTAGTTTCATTTCAACTAGGGACCAACTAGATATTGTCTAATCCCCTGATTAAGCTCCCTAGTCACTCTTATTCCATTAGACTCCAAGTAAATTCTAACTTTTCTATCCAATTCCAACTAGTAGGCCATTATGTCTTTTTACACCAAAATTTGCCTATAAATACCATCACTCCCTAGCATGGCAAACACAAACAACACACTCACACACAAATTCGGCCTAGAGGAGAGAAATGAGAGCAAGAGAGAAGTCTTGAGAGGGAGAGGAAGGAAGAGGAGAGCAATCTTGTTCAAGCCTAGCAAGTAAGCCACAACACAATTCTTTCTTTCATTTTCCTTTTTTCAAATACATGCTCTTAAGGCTTCTAAATCTTGTTTTCAGATGTGTTATTAATGATTTCCTTGTGTTAAAAATGATAAGAGTTGAGCCATGATTCTACCTCTCTTGTAGTTTCCCTTATTTCAATACAAAACTATCTTTTTCATACCAATCTCTCAAACTTTCCAAAGGCACACCTTCAAGAAAATTTTCTGAGTTTAATATATGTTAGTTAGCATGTTTTCATCACAAAAGAAATGAAAATTTTCCCGTAGTGGATCTCTTTTCTCACAAATCTTCTTGTTTTGGGTATTATGCC